TCTGCCTCTTCATCCTGGTTGGGTGGTCTGTCACAGACCCCCAGCAGGACGTCTACCTTGTTGGCTTTCCCCCTCATCTTTATCCATGGGCTTTCAACCTTGTCGTCGCAATCGTCGAGCTCTGGACACTCGAAGCAGTCCCTAACGTACATCCCTACAGAATGGAACCTCTTGCGTGAAGAACAGCTGTATAGGGAGGACAGGTTCTCAAGGTGAGGGTACAAGGACTGCATTTCCCTTAGCTGTGTATGCTAATATTTGTGTGTATGTATGGGTTAATAAAAAGGCTAATTTATTTTTCAAAGGTGTTGAGGCTCCGTATGTTTCAGAGACCAGTTAGGCACGACTTTGGCAGCCAGGACATGGTATTTATGTGTTTCTGCAGAAAGTGAAGTGCTTGAGAATATGGAGCCAAGAGAACTGCTCATTTTTAAGACGAGATTTCTGTGATAACTTTTTCCTCAAGGCACGCAAACAAAATCGGTACACTCGTGCTGGTCTTAATGACTTGAAAGTCAGTTGTGAGAAGTAGTGTTTCTTTTGAACACGGAGGTGCCTAATGAAGCATAGCAGAGTATGAGGTTTTCAGATATTTTTCTTCAAAAGCTCTGCTGGCAGCCAGCTACAACAAATCCTTTTCCACTCTGATAGCCACTATGATACCGCTTTTCATCTTTCCGTCATTAAAGTTAGGCCAGACTTCCAGTAATGCAGAAAAACATGTGTTACTAAAGGGTAATGATAAAATTAAATTTTATACTTTCAGATATATATTAAAGTTTCTTCCTAAAGGTGAATTTTTCTTCAACTGTCATAAATTTAAAAGTGTATGCCTCCAAAGAGTTTAGCTACTTCTAGGCAGCAGCACTATAAAAGCATCATTTGTAGAGAGGTGTCACACTGTAGCATTAACCAGACACGGGTTTGGTTCACTGCTGGAGCTGATAAGTTTTCTATATTGTCTTGCATTGGTTGGTCTTTATTTTGGTTTCTAGAATGGTGTTTGTAGAGCTTTTCCACCACACAAGGTTTTTGCGAAGGGGTAACTTGTTAACAACATCTGTGCAAGCACCTGGAAAGGAGGAAGGGAAAATGGCAGCGGTGGTGATCTTTGGTGTAGACTGTTAAAATTCATAAGGAACCGATACTGGTGGTTTTGATGGTGATCTGAAGGTGTTATTTTTGTGCTTGACTGCTTTATATGGCCACTGTTAGGTAGTTTGGTGGCCTTGGTTCACCAGAAATTGGTTCGTCTCGTTAAATCACTGTCACACTCGGCACCTTGGTTGGTGACATTAGAGGAAGAGTCAGAGCAGGATGTGCTGGGGCAGTTGGGAAAGAAGCCAATGCTGCCACAGATAACACCGCTTTCCGCTGTCCGGCTGCAAAGAAGACAGCGACCTTCGCAATACTGCCGAGCACCTCTTAGCTTCACTGAAATTCACACGGACCGTCCAGCGTCCGGACGTCAGCGTGGGTCTGGTTTCATTGACCAGTGCGGAGTTAAGGATGGCGGATAACAAAGTAAGGGAGTTTCGGACGCGGAGCGTTTTGAACTGAAGCTGGTAACCTTTCTGTGTTCCAGAAATACAATAACGACTGGTGGATAGGAAGGCTGGTTAAGGAGGGCTGCGAGATTGGCTTTATTCCAAGCCCGCTTAGACTGGAGAATATCCGCATTCAACAGGAGCAGAAGAGAGGACGTTTCCATGGAGGGTAAGAATGCTGTAACCTTTTAAAATCATTTCAAATAATTTCTGACACCGGACAATATTTTCAAAGGTCACTTGATTCTTGTTTTATTGCAGCGCGTTTGGAGGCATGTTTGATTTGGGATTCCAAATGAAAATACATATTTGCAGAGAATAGACATGTTAGATACTGACGATAAGAAACAAGAAAAAAATGTGTATTGACTTAAGGAAAGATCAGTAATGCAGTATGGGTGGTAATGACAGAAGTTTCTGAAAGGCCAGAGAGTTTTACGTCTCCAAGGGTTTAAGTCAGCTTGGTGCTCAAAGACTGCCAGATTTTTTTCCAAACTGTTACATACTTAAGGCTGTGGGCTTTTTCTTTCTTTTTTCCTTCATCTCCGTTTTGGCCCAAACCAAGCTTTTCAGACTTTCTAAGATGAGCTTTGTTGTTCGACTTCCTTTATTCTTCATCTCCCAGCCTGACCATTCTGTGTCTCCATGCTGCTACAGCTGAAGGTTGCAAGTCCCTGGAAAATACAAACTTGGTGACAGGTCTAGGAAGTAAAACTGATTTCTCGTAATCTCAGTTCAGACACTGAAGTCACTCTTCTATTGGCTGAATACGCGAAGTACATTTCTCTTTTTTTAATTCCCACTAATTGAAAAAGAAATGTAAATGTTCACACAGACAACAAGGAGGACAAAACCCTTAGTACTGCAGAGTAGAGAGACGTGAGCCAATAGAGTCTGGTCCTAATAGATAGCAGTAAGAGGAGCATAATTTAGCCTGTATAGTACTGTCAGGGAATTGGCATGCTAATATGCTTAATCAAGGTCAGGAGTCATTTGAAGTATAAACCATATGGGAAAATGTTTTTAGAGTGATTGAACGCTTTTTTCAAATTGCTTTTATAATTTTTGCAATAGCTTCCAAGGAAGCTGGTGTATCTCAATGTACAGAAAGAAGATTATCTAATTCGGAGAGATGGACACTGGCAGAGTGTTTGAGATACTGTTTCAGATACAGCAGATAAATTCTCTACTTGTGTGAATGGGCGTGACTCCACCGAATCACCAATTCTTGCACAGATTTTGGCTACTTGCACCTATGGCGAATATTAGGAATAAAATCAAGTACGAAAGAGATGGGCAAGTACAGTAAAGGATATCTGTTAAGCTTTTAAGTAGTCTGCACTAACAGTCCTAGATTTGTGTGATAAAATTGAAAGTAATGTATAATCATAAAATAGTGTATTTTTGAGCATCTTTGTTAGATACAGTCATACAGTACCTGTACCTTAAGATTTCTTTAAAAGCTGTGCCTAACTGTGATACTAAGGCTCTATGTGATGAGGAAGAATTCTAGTTTTGCCTGAGGAAGGCAGCAGAAAGTCACCTATTAAAGAGGGTTTCTCAAGTCCAGTACGTGTTCGCAAAGGGTTTGCCAAGTCCGGGAGTTAACAGTCCCCACTCTGGAGAGCGTGTGGCAAGAAGGCAAGGACAAAATACTGGTCAGGACTAGCATCCTCTTGCTGGGCAGTCTGTACGTAACAGAGAACACCAAATACTGTGCCAGAGATGCAGGTTGTGCCATGGGACTGTGTGACCTGCAGGAGTCAGTTGCTTGAACAGTCCTCTCCCTTTTGCCCTGAGCTCTCCTTCCCTCCTCCCATCTCCTCCTCCGCTGCTTGTTGTACCAGCTGAGTTAGAGAGCTGATTCACCTGCGCGTCTTCCTCCTCCCCAAACCAGTTTGCTGTCCCAGTCTGCTGCAGGTTTGCTGCACAAGCAGTTCTGCTGGGTGCATCTCACCGGGAGGGGAGGGCAGAGCTGCCTGGCTGGGAGCCGGGAGGTACCGCGAATGGAAAAAGGAGCTACTTAAACCACCATGGCGACACAACAAAAGCGATTTAAACCACCAGTTAAGATCCCAGACCTGCCAAGAGATGTGTCTGGCTAGTTACACGTGCCGGTAGAGCGGCCGAGCGCGACGGAGGAGCGCTGGGAGGGAGAGCTCGTGCAGAGCGGGGCTGTGCGCTGTGTTTAGCAGGTGTCTACTGCAAGAGCTGCTGCGTTCCCCAGCCTGCGGGCTGATGGCAGCAAAGCTGCCCTTGGTCTGTGGTGGGACCTGCTCTCCCCTCGTAGCCTGTACGCAGCTCTTCCGGATGTGAAGGTCTGCTTAATTACAGACACTTTGGTTTCCCTGTGTCCCTGCCTGGCACTCGGCACCTCTCACTTCAGGGGAGGCTTTCGTGCAGCAGGGATGTGGGTGAAGACTCTCCTCTGGCGTGTAATTTCTCATGGGGCAGTTCCTCATAGCTGCTCCCTCACACCTCACACGTTTGCGTCTCCGGGCGCTTGGTGTTAGTGGGGCTCTCTCTTTCTGACACCGTAGGAAATCGAGTGGAAATTCTTCTTCAAGTCTTGGAGAAATGGTTTCTGGCACGTTTCGAGCCACGCCCACTTCCACGGGTAAGACAGAAGTTTATTTAAGGAAACTCTTTGCTATTTCTAGTACTTGTATTTTCAAAACCGTATATGAAGAATGCAGGTTTCCCCCCTTTGCTGACTTATTAAGACATGTTACAGAAAAGTGCTTGCGTGCGGAGGTGGAGAAAGACAGCTATTTCTAGACATGCAGTAGTTGCTAAGGGACCGGGAAAAAATCTTGGGAGAAGTGGCAGCTGCCTGAGAGTGGAACGAATGACCAGGTTAAACAGGGCTGACCAGAAGGGAGGTATGCTGAGAGACATCGAAAGTGCGTTGGCAAAGGGATTTTTGTTTGCAAGTGTTATGGTTGTTATACACAGCGTGTGGGTTTTAACCAAGTTCTCATTTGGTCTTTTAGCAAAACAGAAGCAGAAAGTGGTAAGTAGTACTTCCGTTTTCATTTTAGTTTATTTAATTCTAATACATAATTCCCAGGATTTTCATACAGATCTTCTTTGGCTAATGAGCTGAAGGGTTGTGTTCTTCTTCTAGACAGAACATGTGCCCCCCTATGACGTGGTGCCGTCAATGAGACCTGTTGTCTTGGTGGGTCCGTCACTGAAAGGCTATGAGGTATGTATTCCAGGTACTGGCAATTAGTAGTTTCTTATCTGTAATCTTCCTCTGTACATTCAGTGCGTGTGGTCCAGTGCAACTATTTTATGATAATTTAAGGTGACCTTAGCTTAAATAATTGTCAAAAATGTAAAAGAAGAACTGAGAGCCCAGTTCGCTCTTTGCACCGTTTGGGTACCAGCTGAATTTTTTTCCGCCTTGCCACGATGTCTGTTACTGGTGATGTCCCAGCTGGAGGGTGGGTGACACAAGTACACTGTTGTGCTCGCCGCAGTTTTACTGCTTTAAACGCAGTGCACAGCCATTATTTTCTGTACAGTTGCTCTTGATTTAATCAAGTAAGAAGAGGAGAGTTTGTGTCCGCTACAAGGAGTTGGAGCAGTCAAGTTAATGAGCTAGACTTCTGTATGCATATAAAATTCTAGTCAAACTAGCATTGTGCTTTGAAGTTCATTAGCAAAAATTTTGAAGAAGCTTCCCTGCTGGTGTCCTTTTTTCACTTATAAAAACTTCACATCTTCCCATGAAACTCGGTGTTGGCAAATGAAGTCGCTGGACTATTGCAGCGTGTTCAGTTCTGTTCTCCAGCACCTGAAACTGAATGTGGGAACTAACAATTATTGTTTCAGCATGTTTTCTTGAAGGGTTTTTTTTAAGATTCTTAATACATTGAAATATGTATGTAAAGAAACCTTTAACCCTTCTAAGTTACTTGCCTCTGTTCAGTGTGGAAGTAGGTATGGTAACATGCACAGCTAAACAGAACGCCCATTTTTCAAGGCTGCTGCAGATTCAAATGAGCATTTAATACGTGCTAAACGAGCACAGGCTTTTAGCAGGGCATTTTAGTGAACTTAACCATCTGTTAAGTGTTTTGCTGAATTAGCAACTAAATGAACATGAACATAAAATCAAAGATACACTTCATTTAGCTTAATTAATGTTGTTAGTACTTTACAGGAGATTATTAAACACATTGGAATGGTTCTTTTTGGAAGCTTACAACATGGTACCATTATTAGCATAATGCAGTGTTCGTGCCTTGGTTTTTTTGTAAGAATGATTGAAAGTGTAGTTCATCAAAGGTATTTCGTGTTCTACTCTGCCTTTTAATTTTACCGTGGTATTTCTTGACAGGAGTAAATTTCATCCATTGACTTCCATGGTGCTGCACCACAGATTAATTTGTCTAGGGACTCTCAAGTTTGGAGGGGAGAGAGGCTGTTTGTTATTACATACTCTACAAATATACTGTCCTGCCTTCGTTTAAGAAAATAATACTAAACATGACGTCTTGAACATATAAAGGTGTATAAATGGTAACACAGAATATTAATTTCCATTACAAATAACGGTCTACATAACAAACCCACATTGATCTTACTTTGCAACCTATGTGACAAAGTTCTTTTGACTTTTTTTTCCTGCCTAAATTCTGAAGGAACCGTTTTGAAAGGTAACCTAGGAGAAATGAACTGCCAGAGGCCTGGGGGCTTTGATGAAGTTCCTCTCTAGACTGGCAGATAATAGGTGTCAGCCTGAGTTGTCCTGAAAAGGACAAGGAGCTCATTCAGTAGAGTAGATGACAGCTGTTGGGGCTGAGCATCTCTCCGATGCTTTGCCGTGTGCAGGAATGGCAGCATCCACTTTTTCTGCTTGTATGCCTCTGAGGATAGTTTTTCTCCTCTGTTAGAACAGTCATCCAACACAGTAAATCTCGTCTCTGAAGTTTTAAGCCAGTTCTAATACTGTTACTGTGGGGGAAAAACCAAATGATCTGTTCAGCCCGAGTAGTCCCACATGCTTCTGACGTGTTCTGAAGCCTGTTGGGAATGGCAGTGCTGTGGAAGGTGGTGAGGTGTGCTCTAGTGCTTCAGTGCAAGTCGAGACAAGAGCGGAAAGAGGGACAGCTCGCACTGCATTCCGCACTTTGGAGAATGAGTCAGAAAACTTGCAAGTATTTATTACGAAGCGTGCTGCCGAGAGCATGGAAATTGAGTGATTGCTACCTATAAAAGGTATTGATTGTTGGCAGTATCCTTACCTTCTACTTACCTCTTTTCTTACTTTTGACTTCTTTTTCTCCCTGTCAATCCTCCCTGTTCAATCTTCCTCACCTCCGCAAAGGTGACAGACATGATGCAGAAAGCTCTCTTTGACTTCCTGAAGCACAGGTTTGATGGGAGGTGAGAAATACTGTCGTTTTCCTGCTTTTTTCCCCCTATGTGTTACTAACATTTTAGTGGTGTTTTACTTTTTTTTTTTTTAAATGCAAGAAGGTTGATGCATGTTCAAAACTGATTTACTGGGTTTGTATCAGCACAGAAATGTAGCCAGCTGTGGGGTGGAACACAGCTAATGTATTGTGAGAAGTGCATGTATCTTCGTATCTGCTGTGTCTGTAGTAGGGTTTCTTGAATTTAATAGAATAATTCTGCCTCAGTATCTTACCAGCCTGAAGTTACAGGAGCAATCTAGATGAAAGGTGACCGGGGCACATGGAAAGTGCCAAAATGTCTTTGAAGATGGCATTAGCAGGCTCAGGTATTTCATGTCTCTCCGGGAAGCAGCTGTGCCCAGCGAGCAGCCCTTCGGGCAGAGCCCGGCTGCTGCCTCGCCGCTGGCCCTCGTCCCCCCGCAGCTCCCAAGCCGCTGCCTTGCAGCCTGAGCTGGCTGCGTGCTGGGTGCGTGGAACCACGTGGATTGCTTTCCTTTTTCAGAGAGCTGTCCAGTTCCTTTCATGTCATGGAAAAGTTGGGAAAGTGACTGATTGCATGTGAAAGTATTCACAGTCCTTTGGGGATAGGCAAATTTCTTAACCATGGGATACAGAAGTGTGTCCGGCTGGACCAGCTCAGCCAGCCGCAGAAGTGTGCAGACACCAACAAGAAGTGCCTCCTCATTTTTTGTTTTGGAGTTGCCCTATTTGGGCAAGGTTCATCCCAGCACCTTTTCTGAAGTTCCAGGCTCCTTTACAGCAGGATGTTCTCTGAATAAAACTAATCACACCCTAGCCCTGAAATAAGTATCAGAAACAGCAAATTTGACCAGGGTGCAGTAACGGTGCTTCAGACCAACACCGAAGAAAAATCAACTCTTAAACATTCTCGGTAGTCAAAAATACTTTAAAAGGCAGTTTGAAAAAGGAAATGCTGAGAACAAAAATACAGAAAAAAGTGTGTCAGAACTTCAAAAATTGTATGGAGGGTTCAGCTGGAGCACAGAGAATATTTCCTGATGAGCTAGGAGAAGGATAATTTGGATTTCTTTGCTAGGGACGTAGGCTTGGCCCATGGCATCTCTGTCTTTCCACTGGAGCTCGTCAGCAGTTGTAGGTGTTGGCTACATCTTTGGGATGTTCTGCCCTTCCTTCATCCTGGTTTGTTCAGTATATTCTGTGAAGAGGAGCTGACGCTGTGCTAGCTAGTATATAACACTAAGTTAGGTTTGAAAATGCCTGAAAAGTTGGCACTAGGACAGTGAAAATAATGGTGTCTGTTGTCGGGGAGAGGTGGAGTAGGATTTCTGGTCAGGGTATCTTTTGGGGTGCAGTGAGGAGATGGTGGTGCTGAGCTAACCCGTAAACAGCTCAGACAAAACATTTGATGATCGGCTTCTGTGCAGAACATCTCGTCTCCTCCCCTATTCTTAATTGCCCAGCTGAAGCGATGTTGGCAGATTCTGCAAGCATAGTGATTGATCCAAAACCTGACAGATGAAGCGCTGTACGTGGCAGCCTGCAGTTACGTTTGCCATTTTTCTGAGCTGCTCGTGCCTCCCGTGAGTACCCCCTCTCCCCGCTCCTGAGCAGTGTGACTGCTCTGCTTCACAGCAGCTCATCGCGGGAGCCCTGTGCCCGCTGGCGTGAGGTGTAGGTACGGAACCGCAGCAGATGTTCTCCTCCAGCTGTTGGCATCTGGCTGTCAGCTTTGCGTTTGTAATGGAGTCATTGTTTTCGGTAGGAAACCATGGCAACGGGAAGTGATAAGTCATCTCCAGTTGCCATGACGTGATGGCTATGAATATATCCTTTATGAGGTGTATTTTTATACCCTGTATGAGAATGTACTCAGCAAAGGCCTGCTCCACGAAGATGAGCAGTGCCTGAATGCAGAGAAGGAACTGTAAAGCACGCTTAGACGCACCCGTTTAGGCTGTTCAGTCCGACAGGAGGCAGGACTGCTCCTTGCCTTGCTCTTCTGTCTCTTCCCCCACCACACGCTTGGTCTGCACAGAGGGGCAAAAGGGAGAGATTCTGCCTGGGGAGAGGTGTTTTTCAGAAATCCCAGTGCCATTGGCAGCATTGGCAACTAGGTCAGGTAGAAGTGTGAAATTTTAGCACTGAAAAAGGTAACTGCCACAAACAAGCTGATAGAATTGACTTCAGCTCCGAGTAACTTCAGAAAAATGAATTAAATTCCATTTCGGGCACCTCAGCTGCTTCTTGGTCCTCCTGCCAGCTTCTGTAGCTTTGCAGTCTTTCTCCTCCTCCCCTTTTCTTTTTCTTCCTTTCCATCTCTTCTGCAACGTTGTGACAGGTCCACGTTGCCAAGAAGGACAATGACTGTCCAAGGAGGAGCTTGTCAAAAGGCTTCAGTAAGACTGGAACCAGCAGGACTCCTTCCCTGCCTCCTAATGCCTCGGCTGCTGTCAGCTCCTCCTTTTCTGGCTGCAGCATCCTCTTCTGGCCGGTGGACTGGAGGAGAGGCCCGGGGGTGTGCGTGCCGGCCTGCTGAGAGGAGTCTGCTCAGGCTCGGCTGGCCAAGGCCCGCAGGGAACGGCTGCTGCAGAGGCGCTGGCGGCATCGTTTTCTGAATGCGTTGCGTTCAGTCAGTGTTGTGCGGACCAAGCCTGACTCTGGGCACCAGGTAGACACAATAGAGCAAAGGCACGGGTTCTTTCTCAACATCTTTCAGCAACGGCGATAGAATCACAGAATCACAGATCCCAGCATGGTCGGGGCTGGCAGGGCCCTCTGTGGGTCCCCCAGCCCAACCCCCTGCCCAAGCAGGGTCACCCACAGCAGGCTGCACAGCACCGCGGCCAGGGGGGCTGGAATATCTCCAGAGAAGGAGACTCCACAGCCTCCCTGGGCAGCCTGGGCCAGGGCTCCGTCACCCTCAGAGGGAAGAAGTTCTTCCTCATCTTCAGCTGGAGCTTCCTCTGCTTCAGTTTGTGCCCGTTGCCCCTTGTCCTGTTGCTGGGCACCACTGCAAAGAGTCTGGCCCCGTCCTCCTGACACCCACCCTGCAGATATTTCGAGGCATTTCTGAGGTCCCCTCTCAGCCTTCTCTTCTCCAGGCTGAACAAGCCCAGCTCCCTCAGCCTCTCCTCGTAGGAGAGTTGCTCCAGTCCCCTCCTCATCCTCGTAGCCCTCCGCTGGACTCTCTCCAGTAGCTCCTCATCTTTCTTGAAGTAGGATTACTTCTTACTCAGGAGGAGTGAAATGCTGCTTCTGTCTGGCGCGGCAGGTGAGCATTTGTGGTCCTTCCTCTGTTACGCGTCTCTGATTCCAGCAGTCAGAGATCTAGGAGCTCCCTGCGCCAGAGGTGTGATGTAGACCACTGTGTTTTATTGTCGCCTCTGGACCCATGATCCATCAACTTCTCCCATTTCTTTTTTAAACTCATTTATTCTTTTGCTCTCTATTGTATTTCTGGCAATGAATTTATTTATGTATTATGTAGAAAAATTCTTTTTAACCCTCCATCTGATAATTTCACTTAGAGCTGCATAAATCTTACGTTCTGTGGAATAGCTGCTAGGCTTTTCCAGCTTGCTTTCTGTTCATTTTTCGTGGCTCTTTGGCACATCACAGTCCTGAATGGATTTTGTGTGAAGTGATTGTGTGGTCTTTGTTTTACACCCTTTTGTCAGCTCACTGACCAACCAAGTGAAAAAATATCACCTGCCTTAAAATAAAGAGGGGCTGCAGCAGCACAGCTGGCTGCGGCTCCACTTGTTCTCCTCTTCAGCCACGAGCTGAGTCGTTTAGCCCATCGGCACAGCTCCCTGCCCCGGGGAGGAGAGCGTGTGCGGGAGGAGCCGTCTCCCGGCGCAGGCAGCTCCGTTCGGAGGCTCACGGGCGCTCAGATGTGAGCGACAGCGTCTGCTCCGATGCCCAGCCACGGCCCTTCCTCACCTCTCGGCAACGTCAGGTGTAACCGATGGCTGAACTGCCTGGGAAGAGAAGTGCTGTTACAGTGACGACTCTGTTGGTCTGTATGCCCTGAGACTCCCTTAACTTGTCATATTTATGGTATTGTGTAAATTCATGTAGGAGATGAGTGAGCTGGGGAGAACAGTTAACCAATACGTTAAGTACAATAGCAGAAACTACATGA